TATGTATTTGTCTTTGACCCTGTTAATGTCAATAGCCTATTAGTTCAATAGTACTAGTGCTAAAGTTATTTGTTAAACTTAACCACTAAGCACCATACAAATGTGTTTACTTGACTACGAAAAAGGGTACTAAATAAAATTATACAACACTGTCTGTTGCTTGCAACTCCGGAGTTATGAAAAAAAAAATAGTAGCCTATGGCTTATAGGTTATGTTTTACATCTGTTGCAAATTTCATCTTGATCCGTTGAACCGTTCTGGAGATACCTTCTAACAAACATTCATCCATCCATTATTCCAAACTTTCACATTAATAATACTAGTAAAATGTGTGTCATGGCAAATCGTTCAAGTACACATGGTTTACTACTGAAATATATTTATTTCATAAATCTACATACAATAGTATGTTTATAAACCAAACATGAATAGAAATTCACGATAAAGTTGTCTTTATAATATGCATGCAATTTGGGGAGATGTCTGCTATCGGTCACTAATTAATTCCAATATCATTATTTTTCAGGCTTTTTTGGTATGCATTTCAAACCCGGTCATCAATGAATAGCAGCGTGGATTTCTTTGAAAGTCTAATAGACGAGGATGGTCGCTTTGCTGAACTGAATTGTCAGGAACCTAGTCACCGTGAACATCAAAGCACTCGTAGTAGACCGCTGGTTCAAGGTAAAGTAAGTCTTTTTAATATGATAAACAGATTGAGAATTACACACGAAACAAAACGTGCGATAAATTTTAATTAATTACTGCTACATTTTAATAAAAGCAGATCAATCCTTTTGATCAGTTTTTAAGTGGATTATAATGAAATAGAAATTGCTTTCCTCTCACACCAGTATCCTAATTATATTAAAAAATACCTCTCACGTTATCGAAACATCAGAATGCTGTGAAATGTTAATAACTCTGTAAAATTATTAGCCTCGCATTTCATTTGATTTCACGCCTAGCTTGTATTTACTTTATTTTTTTATTAATTTAAAATATATCTTAATAGGTTCCAAGAAACAAAATTCACAAAAAAGTTTGTTTTTCGTTACCATATTTTTTTTAAACCGTTTCATAATAAAAATATTTCCGAACGCAACGTCAAATGACAATCCGCCCGCTTCGCCATCGCCCAGTGTTGCCAATGCTACGGTAATTACCGTGTCCTACGGCTTTCTAGCCAACAACTTTAAAAATCTACGAAATTCGAATAGGCTTTACGTAATTGTTTTTTTAAATAATTCACTTTACGCTTCGGAAAATAACTTTAAAATTTAAAGATAAAGTAATAATTATTAATAAATTGTACCGGAAATGATAAAATTTATAGAATACGATAATGCTTAAAAGTTTTTTAGTTATAAAATTAAGAACAAAACGTTGAACACGTTAAACTAGAGCCATTTTGCGCATGTTAAAAAATGTCTCCTTTTTGTAAGTAGTTCTTCCAATCAAACAGCTTTGTCACACAATAAACACGGCCAGGTAAAAAATTTCATTGGCAACACTACCTTCGCTCGGTTTCGTTTGGCACTCTCCGCGACCACAACCGCGCAAACAAGATGGCTGACTTACGTCATTGAGATACGTCCCGTGTTCAGATGTTTAAATTAAAATATTGAATTATACGTTTATACACTATGTCCAATTTGTGTTCTAGAATTGTTTCAAAACCTCCAAAAAGGTTACAAGACAATAGGGATAGTATGTCTGTCGCACAAACAAATACTTGGATGAACGGTGAGCTTTTTGTCTTTGTAAATATTGATTTATTCAGGTGAACGAATTTGTTTGCGTTGTTTATAGGCAATATTGAATATTACTAACAATTGTTTTTAACACTTCCAGCACCTTGTTGTAACACCATAAATAACACGTAATAATAAAGATGAGAAATGACATTTGAATACATAACATTATCGCGTCCTTAACCTTTGTGATTTATAACATAAAAAAAATATTACTTAATCCACAGCAGAAAACATTAACAATGGTGGTGGAATTTCGTTGTCCCCGCCGCATACAGTATCCCAGCGAGAAACGGGAACACAGGTTTCACAATGCTATAGCGGACCACCTTCCCCTTGCGGCTCTTCGAGCTCTGCGACTTCGCCCACAGTGTCACCAGCGCCGCCCCCCGGCACCGCCACACTAGACCCCAACTGGCAAGCCACCAAACCCACCGTTAGAGAGAGGAATGCTGCCATGTTTAACAACCAACTAATGGCTGATATCACATTTATAGTTGGGAGTCCAGGTAAATACATAACAAATTTCCATGTATCAAAATCAGAGTTATGCAGTATATTTTTCATTTTTATAAATACTTTTAGGTCACACACAGATAATCCCGGCACACAAATATGTATTGGCTACAGGCAGCTCAGTATTTTATGCAATGTTTTATGGAGGATTAGCTGAGTGCAAGCCGGAAATTGAAGTGCCAGATGTTGAACCATCAGCTTTCCTTACATTATTAAAGTGAGTGAATAAATATTCAATGTCATTTTGTTATGGATCCAAAAAATTAAGAATATTTTTTTAAATGCAAGATGTAATTCTTGCACTATAACAGTATAGTGTTTATTTTAGTAACTTGTACTTATCATGTTTCTTTTTCAGATATTTATATTGTGATGAAATCCAATTGGAAGCTGATACAGTACTCTCTACATTGTATGTAGCAAAGAAATATTTTGTCCCCCATTTGGCTCGGGCTTGTGTTAACTATTTGGAAACTAGTCTTACGGCAAAGAATGCATGCCTTCTGTTAAGTCAGTCTCGATTTTTCGAAGAGCCAGAACTTATGCAGAGGTGCTGGGAAGTAATTGATGCTCAGGTATGTGAGTCAACTGAAAATTTAGGAACCATCTGTCTCAATTCATCCTCATCCTATAGTAGTCTAACAATGGAGCTCTCTGAATCATCTAGTCGAAACTTCTCAAGTCCCGAATGTAAAGATATATCTTCAGATAATCTTCATAGTTTTTGTAATTAATTTTTTTTTTTGCTTTAAATGTAAGTTGTTGAAAAATGGAATACTCAAATTTGGTTGTGACTTATAAAATTAATAATTTGTTATTCAAATTGAAAGTCTTGTAACATTCCAATTAATATTAATTATTTATTTTGAGGTGTTCAGCTCCCATGTAATAATATTTACTTAATATATTAACTGCAATACATTTTGTAAGTGGTTGTTGTCTGCATGATAAGTGTCAAGTATGTAATTGATGTTAGTGTCAAATGTGACCTTGTATCATTTGAATCTTTATAAAGATCTTAATAAACTATTGACCAAATTGTATTGCAGTTTTAATGTACCTGTCACCTGAAATAACCTCAGTTATAATTTCATTGTAGGCGGAGATTGCCCTGACATCTGAAGGGTTTGTCGATATTGATGTCTCAACTCTGGAGTCAGTTTTAGCCAGAGAAACACTAAACTCTAAAGAAATTAACCTGTTTGAAGCTGCTTTGGCATGGGCCCAGGCGGAATGTGTTCGCCGAGAAATAGAGGCCACTCCAGCCAATAAGCGAGCTATGCTGGGAAGTGCCATATATTTGATTCGCTTCCCTACTATGTCATTAGAGGAATTTGCAAACAGTGCTGCACAACTCGGTATCTTGACTCCACAAGAAACAATTGATATATTTTTACATTTCACTGCATCAAATAAGCCACAACTCTCATATCCTGTCAAGCAAAGAGCGGGACTTAAAGCTCAGGTAACAAATCACATTCTTAACAGTTATAAATGTCATTGGTTTTTTCCAAAGACTACAATATTTAATTGGTTTTTCAGATCTGCCATAGATTCCAGTCATGTGCATACCGTAGCAATCAATGGAGGTACCGTGGCCGTTGTGATTCAATACAATTTTGTGTGGACAAGAGAATATTTGTTGTTGGATTTGGATTATATGGATCTTCCAATGGTGCAGCAGATTATAATGTCAAAATTGAGTTGAAACGTTTAGGCAGAGTACTCGCTGAAAACAATACGAAATTCTTCTCTGATGGATCAAGTAACACTTTCCATGTTTACTTTGAAAATCCAATACAAATTGAACCAGAATGTTTTTATACAGCATCTGCAATTCTTGATGGCAGTGAATTAAGTTATTTTGGACAAGAAGGTCTAAGTGAAGTTTATATGGGGACAGTGACTTTTCAATTCCATTGTTCATCGGAAAGTACTAATGGGACAGGAGTGCAAGGAGGACAAATACCAGAACTCATCTACTATGGACCTACAATGAACACTTCCCTTCCAAATCCCAATGCAAGTGATGACTGACGATTGAATAGAAGAAGACATCTCATAACTCAATATAGTTAAGTAGATTTACATTTCACCATGATTCAAAGAGAAAATTTGAATATTTATATTATGTATCATTCCCAAATGTTAAATTATTTTGTTGGATATAAAAATCTTGTGTATATTGTTGATCTTGGATAGAAAATAAGTACCTAAAAATGTGATATGGGTGTTGTAATAGCTCTCTATAAATTCATAGGTGTAAGGCAGCTGCATCATTATTCATACAAAATTTTCATTGCAATAAATTAATAGCTTGATTTTGTATTTCGTGTTTTATTCATGAACCTAATAATCTATTACGTTCATACCTATCATATATGTTTAACTATATACTAATATCATTTCTATTTCATAAATCAACCTTTAATTATATACTTCAATGTCACACTATAAAAATTAGATTTAAATCTATGTACCACTTCATTTTGAATTAAAGAACACTAGTAAGTACTGGTATTATTTTAATACTAAATATGAATTTATAAATAAATATTTATAAATAGAACTTCGTGTATTTGTGAATGTATGTCAGGGATAAACTCCGAATCTAGCAATCTGATTGTAAAGCTATTGTATTATATAATGTAACATAAAAGATTTCTTACATCACTTATTGACTTTGTTAAGCTAAGTCAGGATATGAAACTAGTTAAATAAACACTTACCTGTAGGAGGTATGTTGATGCAAAGTTTGCGGGACAACTTGAAGTAGATACGTCCAAGTTGGTAGCAGCATATTTGAAGTGCATCACTTATGTCAATCAAGAGATCTGGGTTAATTTGCTAAAGAAATATTAAATGTGTTGTTATACATTACAACTTTTTCAATATGAAAATTAACTTGCCAGATTACTTTACAATAAACATTGTACTTAAGTAGCTAAAACACGTGTTTAGTTGTGTTAAAAAAAAATCATAGATGTAGAACATAGTCTGAAAGATGACATAGGCTATTAATTATGTTTTTTTTATTCCAATTGGGTTGCAAGTAAAAAGGAGTTACTAAATAAAACTCGGATTTTCCTTTTAAAATAATGGAAGTATCTGTTTTGAGTAAAAAATAGTGTAGTTCAGATTACCAAATATAATGCTAACATCAAAAAATTTAAAATCTTTTTTAATTAGGATGTTAAAAAAGGATACGTGCAGTGCCTTCTGTTCTGCAGGTCATGTACACACAAGCTGCTTGTGTAAGGTTAGCTGGTCTTCCAATTGTTAAGTGACGAGACAATGCCATCTTAAAAAAATTGCAGGCAATATCAATGCATTGCTGATTAAGACGAAGTTGTTGACAAAGAGCTGTGATGCCTTCTCTCGCTTTTCTCAATGTAACCTCTCGGGACTCTTGTCCTATGCCTACACAAGCTGAAAATAAAAAAATATATTTTAACCACAACCACATTTTACATAATTAAAAAGAAATAACCAGGCAATAGTTGGTGATCAGCTCTTTAGGACTAATTGATGATTGCAGGGGATAATAGATCAGGTAAGTAATATTTTTAAAAGAAGATTTGAAGTAGAAGGTAATAAGCAAAACATTATTTTTTTTTAGTCTTGAACTAATTACCTCTTCCGAATCCCGAAGCTCCACCTTTTGACTCAGCGGATACGAATTGACCAATAGCTGAAGAGCCACCATGTGCGTTTTCTTGAAATTCAACTTCTGAAACTATTATGTTATCCTCAAGCACTGAACCACAGTTCGTGCACACAGCATCACCTCGCGCCGGGTCTACTTCTATCTCAGAGGAACCGCAATGCTTGCACTTTTTACCAGACATCGTGTTTTATGGTGAGGCTACCGAAAGATATATTACTATTTGAATCCGCTTTACTTTATGATTTTTATGAGCTAAAAGAAGTGACAAAAGTTATATTTCCAGCATCCCTCGCAGTAATTTATTCAAAAATAAAAGCACTATCTTCTGCAATCAGTATAGTAAGTACCAGTAGCAAATTAGAGTTGTTTGGTTTGATAATTTGATATGCTGAATAAGTTTAGTTTATCAGACTGTCAGTGTCACTCAAAAAGCGTATGAAGCTGTCACTGCCAAAATATTTTCGCGGTTTCATTTTGCAAAATAGATAATTTTACGTTGTTATGATATTTTTCATTTAATAAATAATTTTCGGAATCAAATTAAATTGTGTAAATTAATAGATAATTTAAGTGCTTATAGTTTATCTTATCGATGCTTTTAATTGAATTTTATATGCTGCCGATTTTTATTCTATAAATAATGATTTAAATTGATTTGTGAAAAGCTCCAAAATGTTATACTTTCAATTTATCTTTCGTTTTCTCCCTTTATGAAACTTGTCTTTTATCAACTTTTTTCCTCCTTCCCTTCACCGACAATCCGGCATTCTTCGCATTCATAAAAAATGACGTCACAGATAAGATACGCCATGATTGGCTGAGTATCACGGCATGTAGTTAAAAATAGCCGATGAGATCACCCTTCAAATTGTTGCGACCAAACTAAAAAGTCATATCTGAAAAGTATGTTCTAGTAACGCAAAAGTGGGCGGTTAGGACATTTCGTAACACCAATGTAAGAAATTCTTAGGAGAAGGGCATCCCCAAAGCGAAGACGACGTCACCGTGCAAACTGCACTGATGACTCATCAATGTTGTGTTCTCGTTCGTGTATAATTTCTTTGACGCGTTTTATTTTGTTGTTGTTACTGTCATAATTAGAACTGTCAAATTTGTGAAACGTCGTTGAATGTTCTATAGTTATCACGATTTCATGTTAATGCGATAACGTTAAAAACAATTACGTAAATCATCTTCCGTGTTTTACTTTGAAAAGAACTTGAACTAATGACGATGAAGCTGGAAGTTAGTGATAGTCAATCGAACCACTCAGACTTTTCGTGTGATAGTCAGTCCTCACAGGGCTCCTCTACGAATGATTTCACACCAGCCGTCCCGACCTCCAGGTCCCTCACGCTCACGGTAAGTGACCTTTGGAGTCTGTTGAAATAACGACGTCATTAAACATGTTATTTATAAATAGAAGAAAGATAAAATTCGTAGTATGCCTTAACTACTAAGCTTTTCTTTAATTTATTTGACAATGTCTTCAAATACAATATTAATACTGAAATCATAGAGATATAACCTATAGATACCTAATCAGGACTACTAAAATGTTGTTAAAAGAAGTCCTCCGGAGGCTTTTCATAAGGGTAAATTCTCTCAGTATTGACAAACTTTCATAAAATATTATGTTTTTATGACTGGTATTAATATATTGTATTTAACATTCATTGATCAAGAAAAATGTTAACTTGGAAACAAAACTTGTATAATGAAAGGGAAATGAAAAGAACTTAGTGTGTATCATATTGATAAATGTAACAGTGATAATTTTTCAAGATTTTCAATAATTTATGAAGTAATAGAAAATAATATCAAGAATAGTTTCCTGCCACTATTTACCGTATTTAAAAAAATCTGAAAGTATTAATGTTTGATATCTGATAAAATCTGCACTTTGTTCATGGTCATTATTTTCTAATGGTGTCCAATACATAAATATTTTAAACTTTTAGAAACTAAGACATTCAGTGCTACTGAATCACTTTTCTGCGTTCATTTTCATGTAAAAAAAAGTACCATGGAACATGTTATTGACAGCACCTGTTATCTTTTCTTATGAGGATTGTAGATAGGTTTCTTGTGAATTGTGATAATATTCAGATAAGATTCAGTTTTAATACACTTGTAAATATGTGTATTAGTCATTGTTATTTTTATACTTATATCTTATGTCATGGATGTTGAAGTAATTTGGTTCAATTCTTATGTTGCATTTTCAATGTTACCTGATTTATTTTTAAATCTGTTTAGGTATTTCGAAAAACTATCTAATGTTTTCAGTATTCTTTTTGTTCAGATATGTGAACTACTAAATTCTTTTCTTGCAATGAAGAGTTCTAATTTCAAATGGAAATCGCTATTTTACATTTGGAACCTGTGATTTTGCATGGCATATTGATATAAAAAAATTATAAACTATTATGGTTTATGGGAACTGTTATGGTTTATGGGAACCTTATTGTGTTTTCTCCTGTTAAATAAATAAAAATAACAGTATGTTTGACAATTTACATTGAACTTTTTAAACTGCGGAGGATTAATTTTTTTTAATTTAATTCTAGAGGGTATCCCCGAGGTCCGAGGTATATACTCTCAGATAATTAGATGTTATTTTGACCGGAATTATATGAAAGAATAAAAGTAATATGTTATTAAGTTTATTTAAAGGTAGTTTATTAACATTTTTGACCCCATGCAGTACTGGCTCGTATTCTGGTACATGTATGCAAATTATAAAGACAATAAAACCACACCACAAAGATTTATACGTACATCTGTTTTTTCTGAATATTTTAACCACAACCAAGAATGGTGCCAAAACTATGAAATTTCTACTAAAATTTACTATGTATGTAAACTGTCAATTGAGTTTTTATTAATTGTGCCTTTTGATTGAAAAATAAGGAAAATGTTCTCTTCGAAAGGAAGGCGATGACCGACTCGATGACGTCATTGATTCTCGGAAAAACTCAGACCGCGCGTCTTGCTGCCAACATTGCTAGCCAATTATCTCTTAATGGTATAGCGTTTCAACAAAATTGTTACATAAAAAATTATAGCATAATTGATACATGTAGAAATCTATAATATAAGGAAAGACATGACTTTTACGTTGTAAATAAAAATTAAAAGACGTTATAAAAAAATCTATTTTTACATTAACAAAAAAAAAATGTTTAACAAAATATGTAACTTAAAAAAAGTAAAATATTGTTTTTCCTTTTAAAATATTGCGATTTATTTATCAAGTTGTTTAAAATTTACTGCGAAAAGGACTGCATTACGATGTTTGTTAAAAAAATTGATTGCTTCGGTTATTCCGCGAACGAGTTTCAATTATTTTTCAACGACGACCTTGACAATCACTACAGTGAATTGATGGTGTTAATGTCAACAAATAAATTCGATAAAAGTGAATTTTCTTTGTTGCAAAATATGTATATGATTTTCTTAAATAGTTCTATAAAATTTATATTACTACCCAAGACTGTATACGAATCAAATTCGATATAGCCCTTACAATAGCATAATTTAATAGACTTTGAAGCTTAACCTTGTTTAACCTGTACCAAATCTGTACAAAAATAAATTTTACAACAGTAGGAACACACGTGTAGGAATATAATTGTCAAATATATTTATGTAACTCGAAACTTGTTTAGTCAAAATCCTTAGTAAGTTAAAAACTACGCTGTTCCCTTCCACTGCACTCTCAGACAATCGGTATCTCTAATTATTTGGACTTTGTAACTTGAAATGAATGTTCCCTGTGTACGCATTTTTATACTCGATAACTCGTATTTAAAAAATCAGACACTACGTCGTCGAAATGAGTAAAATATAATGACGTATTATTAGGAATTCCCTGTCAAATATTTCATGTCTTGAAGTTCCTGTTAAATCGATGTATTTGCATTTTCATAATGCCAAGCATTAGAGATATCAAAATTCTCCCGCACTAATATTCCTACAGTCAAAGCATTTTATATAAAAGGTCGATTCTTGTCATTATTAGAACCATAACTGTATTTTAACCATATCGAAATTTTGTGAATCATTTGGTCGTTAGGCAAATGAGTTTTACTTAATGACATCAAAAATCAAGGTTTAAACATTAAAACGGTTGCAGCAAGTAGGTCTTTTATTGCGTCATTAAAATGGGAAAACTGTAAAAAGGTGACTTGCACATTTTATCGGAAAAGTTCAGTATTTTTTTCATTACTGTCCTGTTAGAATCATTATTGTGGTCACGTAAGTTTCTACCCTTAAGGTTACCCTTTTAATATAGGGAAAGAATGAAAAAAATATGGAATAGGTATAGTCTACAATACGTGCATTTATCATTGGTTTCTGAGACCTAAATCTGTATAAATGTGTCCTCATCGTCATTACATTTAACAAAACAGAGGTAACAATATCTTTTAAACGAAGATTTTGGTATTAGAAACCCAAGGTTAATGTTGCTTTTTCGTAAACACTGTAACTATGGTTCGTTTTATTTACGTTCGTGATCACAACGATTCTGCGAACTGGGTGCTTTCTGTTGCTCGCGTGTTTTCACTGTCCACCCTTGAACTAGAGCTATATGATTCATTGTTTCAAGTATAAGGTCATATCAAATTATAATCTGTTTTCTAATACTTTTTAATTTGTTTACATCTTTCTACGTATCATAGACAAATTAAAATTATTAATAGCTGTCATCCCTGACTCCGTTGCGCGAAATTGAAAAACTTTGTAGCCTGTGTGTTCTTTCAGGCTATGCCAAATTTCAGTGGCACCTATGTCGCTGTTGTGGAGATGGAGAGAGAGAGTGGATTTATAATATTAGTAAGATTATTTACGTTTGTTATATTTATTATAATACTTTATTTTTAATTTATTTGTACTCTTGTTTAAATATCGATTACTATAATAATAAAAAATCCATTTTTACACATAACAGTGTAATTTTATAGCGTGATGATAGGTAATTGTATGTGACAATTTTTTTTTTTATGTTTAATAAACCAGTGCTTGACCACAAAACCACCTGATACTAATCGTCGTGAATTTCCAAAAATCGATTAGTTTATCACACACTGGTATAACCAATGTCCTACAATTTTAATAAGGAAAGTACAGTAAGATATTATCAATGATTTCCAAGATTCGATTGATATGGTTACCGGTAAAAATGTACCATCGAATGACGTAATTCATTGTAGTTTACTGGAATAGGCATCACCTGATCGTACTATCAGACAGCTTGGGACCCGAGCGTGAGGAAGTGGCCACTTCTAGTGATATAACATTTCTTTATATCTATGTCATCGATTATGTTACCATATGGAAACACACAATATTTCAAAGAGTACTTTTATTTGTAATAAGAAGTACTTGATATTATTGTTTCTTTGCGTGAAATGTTTTGAATGCCAAAATATTTGTTATCTCTGTTTTTTAAAAAAGACTGAAAGAGATGACAGTATTTTTCTAAACGAGTATATTAGCAGGGGGAAAAACAATTGATACATTTTTTGTTTCTTTAATAGTGTCCAAGGAAATCCGCGTTGAATTTTCTCAGTTTACGCTCCGATAATTTACATGTTAAACCTATTTAGATTTTTGTCTCTTTTTATTTATGAACTAACTTGCTTGACCTTAGCCTTTTACATTATCGTCCTGTCGACCTTTAAAATAGTAGCGCAGTATACCTAGTTTTTTTTGGGACTGTTGGTTTTCTGTTTGACTTAGAAGTGATATTTTTTACTTAATTTAAACACCGAGGAAAAAAACTAATATTCACTAATGGAACAATATTTATCATATCACATATTTTTTTTTCTTAAATATAAAAGAAATCTTTGATGTAATTTAATTATGCGAAGTAAATTATTTTATAAATTATAGCAATTTTATCTATTTCATCAAAACCTACTTCATTAATTATGTTAATACTGTATTGCGTCGCCATTTTATTTGTTTTTTTTTGAGTCAAGGTTTCCGGATTTGATTCTTCGCCTTAATAGTAAGCTCGCCTTAAAATAATACGTTTCGAATTACGCCTTTGTTCTTTAAAACATTAAACATCAGTTTGTGCATAGTTTAATTTTTATGTTCGTCTAACGTTCTTTTGACAACTATTTTCTATATTTTTTTTCGTCATTTGGAACTGTCTATTAATATTTAAAATTAATTATAATCTAATATGACAGTTATGAGAAATACTTGTTAAGCGACCTTCAACGAATTCAAATTTTTGGCATAATTCCGAGTGTACGGAGAAACGGCTTTTGATTCTGCCATTAAGATCGCATTTGCCTACGCCTCTGCTTTGTACACAATAAATGTGTTGTGATTGTGTCAATGAA